CTACATATATAAAATTAAAAAATATAATATTTAGAGAACGTAACTTTTTTCGAGGCAAATAGCGTATAGGTACACATGTTCGAAAAGTATAAAAGATATTGCAAAGAAAAAGTATTAGCCTAATGTTACTTTATGGATATTTTTTGTACTATTGGCACTTGTGTTAAATTTTTAACTGCCTTAAAATATTACCTACTTGATTTTTAATAGCCAAAATAAAAAAGAGTAGCTCATTTTTTATTCAATTTATTATAGCTCGGTGTCGCTGTTCCCGACATATCGTGTTCATCACCGAGACCTCTCCATTTTCAACTGACTTCAACACCAAAAACTCTCTGGTCTTTTCCTTGCATAATACGTTGAAATAGAGTATTTTGATTTTTTTTATTCTAAACTTTAAAATATAGTTAAGAAAATAACTTAAGATACATTATTATTATTATAAATAACTAGGGGTTACCAGGCGCAGGACTTTGATTCCGTCGAAATTTGGACGGTGCTACAGTCCCTTTAGCAGTGCCAAGTTGACTGTCGGTATATTGAAGTGCTGAAGTGTTTATACAGTAGGGCTAAGATATCTATCAGAGTACAGAACCAGAGTACGAAACCTATCCATCTGCAGAGAGTTGTAAGACAGAATAATTTTATATACCCGAAACTCTTCAATGCTACATTGGAAGACGTTTTAAAGTTACTGGATTGGAAAAAAATACGGTGTTCACATCAATGGCGAGTACATCACTCAGCTTCGATTTGTTGACGATATAGTCCTTAGGACAGAATCGCTGGAGGACCTAAGCAACGTGCTCAATGACCTCATTAGTGTCTCCCAATGGATAGTTCTTAAGATGGACGAAACAAAGATCATGTGTAACGTCCATGTCACTTATGTATGTTTACCTGGGCCAAATAGTGCAACTTAGACCGAATCTACAGATTCGACTCAGTTGGGCAGTGTTCGGGAAAATACGACACATCTTCTCGTCAGGTTGCCGGTTTTTCTGCGTAATGTAATGTTCACGTATACATAATAAATTATTATTATTATATATAACACATATATATATATATATATATATATATATATATATATTGTATATTTAAGTGGTCAGATAAAGCCTAAGTAATGTTCTCTTACTTTTGTTTTAAAAATCCCTTTGTTAGGGGATTTTGTTATTGCTAAGGGAAGTGTATTCCAGAGACGTACAGGTGTAACAGCGAAATAGTTTGAGAGAAAACCATTAAGGTGAGAGGAAAGTTGCAGTACGAGATTGTTATGTGACTGGAAAAGGCAATTATGGGTAGAACCCACAGCCTATAACAGAAGTAATTGTCTATCAGTTTTTGCAGAACAATATAACATTGATCTGTTCAAGGCTCGAATGAATAGGTCGTAGACAAACGCCAATAATTATTATTCTAACACAACATTACCAACAGATGGGCTTGTGGTGAAACGTATATTAATACAGACTGTCTCGTAATCTAAAGAATAAGCTACGTGAGGGTAATATGATCACCTTAAGGTTTGTTGCGTATGAAACCAAAACTAGGAGGAGGATAGTGACAAAAACACAAAGTCGTAGGTACACTATAACTAATATATTAAGGAAATAATAGCAACTAGTTTTGGCAATAATTAGGAACACATCGAAAAATCAACTTAAAAAACTAACTACACTACACCACACTAAAATCGACTAAAATATTTACTATAATTTACATACATACATACATAAACACGCCTGTCACCCAGAGGGGTAGGCAGAGACTACGGACTTCCATTTATCACGATCCCGACATACCTCTTTCGCCTCCTATACATCCATATATCTACGCACACATGCTCGTCGGTTAAGGGTACTTCTAACGTGGCCCATTTTCAAAATATCGCCAATTTGGTCGATAAACATTTTTCTAGGGCGTTACTTCCCGATTCTGCCGTTCACATCTGCCATATAAATTTGCTTTGTCACTCTTTCCTCATTCATTCTTTCTACATGACTAAACCACCGAAGCATTCCTTTCTTAATCCTGGTCACAACATCTTGCATACCACATTTATCTCTTATCATGCAATTTCTCACCCTGTCATTTAGATTCAACCCTAGCATACTCCTTAAAGACCGCATTTCTACAGCATTTATTCTACTTTCGTACTTCTTCTGCCACACCCAGCTTCCACTACCATACATTAAAGTAGGAACTAACACAGAATTATGAATTACCATACGTGCCTTTTTTGACACTTTCTGACTTTTCACAATAGAGTGTAGAGCCCCATTTACTTTATTTCCTGCATTCACTCGTCGTTCAATATCCTTATCATATCTCCCATCCCTGCTGAATACACATCCCAAATATACGAACTCATCCACTTGCTCAATTAACTCTCCTTCTATTCTTATTTCACATACCGTTTTGCTTTCTTCTCTTTCAAAAACGAACACTTTCGTCTTACTTGCGTTCACTTTCATTCCCCTTTCTTTTAATGACCTGTTCATTAATGTAACCATCATTTGCAACTCAGCCACCGACGACGCAAGTATGACTTGATCATCGGCGTACAAAAGGCATTTGATGGTTAACTCACCCATTCTTAACCCGCATTCTTCAACTTTCAAATTTTCCAAACAACTGTCCATAAACAGGTTGAACAGCCACGGGGAAGCTACACAGCCCTGTCTGACACCTTTATGGATGCCAAACCAGTACGAGTAGACCTCGTTGATTCTAACACAAACACTCGAGTCCCTATACAAGGACTTTAATACCTGTATTAAACCAGCGCTCAACCTAAATGCGTTCAGCGTTTGCCATAACACATCCCTGTCCACTCTGTCATAAGCCTTTTCCATGTCCATGAACGCACAAAAAACTTTTTGGTTTTTTGTCAAAAACTTCTCCGAGATCATGCGCATGGAAAAGACTTGATCTGTACACCCCATTCCCTTACTAAATCCCGCTTGCACATCCCAAATTTTTTCATCAGTTTCTTTCATAACTCTTTCAATTTCAAAAGTACCTTAGCATACAGTTTTCCCACAATGCTAAGAAGGCTGATACCACGGTAGTTTTTACAGTCCTGCTGTGACCCTTTTCCCTTATATATTGGAACTATCACGGCTTTGCACCAGTCTCCCGGTACCCGCTTTAGTTCCCAACATAAATTAAACAAGGTGCAGGCCTGCCACCACGTCCTCTCCAGCCCTTAGCATTTCGAGTGAAACTCTATCATATCCGGCTACCTTACCTACTTTCATGCTTTTCAATGCTTTCATTATTTCATCTATACTTATCTCCCTATCTCTTTCATCTTCTTTCGGAATTTCTATTTCATTTAGTTTATACGTCTCCTCACTCATAAATACGCTTTCAAAATATTCCTTCCATCTCTTTAGACTCAACACTTCATCATTCAGAATACAGCCATTCTCGTCTCGTATCGCATTCAATCTAGGCTGTTTTGAATGTCCCCTGGTATTTCTTACGAGTTTCCAGAACGTTTTAAATGGCAAATAGCCTGGAAGTTATCCGATATTCTTCTATCATTCTTATCCGTTTTTTCTTGCTTTTTCCTTTCAAGTAATTTTTTTACTCTCTTATTTAGACGTTTAAACTCTGCCTTTTTTCTTTCAATCTCATCATTCTCACCGCTAGAATTACCAGCTTTGGTCGCTAGTAAATCTAGCCATGCTCTCTTCTTTGCTTCAACTTCCATACGTACCTCATCATCCTACCATAACGTATTGTCTTTCCTTTCATTCGTTCTCTTACTAACACCACATACTTTGGTAGCTGCATCCACTATACCTTTCTTAACATTATGCCACACATTCTCCAAGTCTAACTCATTCACACATAACTCATCCAAATCACTTATATTTCCTCTCAGTCTACATTTGCACTTCTCTTTCAGATCTTCATCTTGTAACCTCTCAATTCTTATACGCTGTAACGCAGTGGTAGACACAGAAGTATAATCTATTTAAGAAAAAAATCATTAAACTAGGTTCTTTATCTGCGAAGATATATGAAATTCCGTAAACAATAGTCCAATATGAAACTTTTTCCTCTATCCCCACCCTTGGGGGTGGATTTTTTTCTTCAAAATTTAATGGGACCACCCTCCAAATAAAGCCTATTTAATAAAAAAAGTAATTATTAAAATCGGTTCACAATGTGCGAATTTAACGCGTAACATACATACAAAAAAACATACGCTCGAATTGAGAGCCTCCTCCTTTTTGAAGTCGGCTAAAAAAAACAAAACCTTAAAATCACTGCACAGTTAAGGAAAATTTCGTAGTAACATAAATTCGAAAAAACATAGCGAATAGTGATCATCTCTTTTTTGAAGTCGACTAAAAATTGGGTTTTTTAAAAACAATTTCCACATAATTGCTTCCGAAGTCGGGGCTTTAAGGCATTACGAAGCCTGAATGACCTTGACGCAACGTACGCTCTGCAGGCACACTCGCGAGGAATTATTCAATTTCGATAAAATAATATTTTCAAGAGTAAAACTTGGAATTAAAATTTCTCACAATAAAGAATATTAATATTTTTGAGACCCTTTTATGTGTAAAAACTAATTAAAGAGCTTGTGCTTTACTGTAGGAAGTTTGCAAATTACAACCAAAAATAGGTTAACTCCTCAGGGTTATTTTTCTAAAAAGGCGTTGACAAAAATACAATTAAATTAGAAAAATGTATCGAATCTTTATCTGTCATTTTAAAAGTATGTTTTCTTTCTTAATGGATTAAATTCATATCTAATATAATTATATTAAATAAGATTGTAGACATATCTACCGCTCTTAAAGCCTTATATATGTTCTAGCAGTCACTTCTCGGTATAAGTTTCATTTCTCTACCTTAATAATAAATAGATACAATAAAAATACTACAGTTTTCGGTAAACCTTTAAGTTTTAATCCTTTAGGTTCACTTACCTCGACATTTTTAGCAAAGTACTCAACAATATCTTTATTTCACAGTATGGCATCAGCAGCAACGTTAGTGCAGCCGTCGGGTGAATTGTGGAAGAAAATCCGTGTGGAATTGAACGAGGACGTCAACACGCGGGACCAAGATCTAGCCGCTATCAAAGATTGGCTTCGTAAGCAGCCACATTTACCAGACGAATGGGGTAAACAGCTTCAGTAAATCGTACTTTTATAATAAATACTCGTATGCGTTTGCTCAGGGGCTAAGCGCTTAATAACACAATACGCAAGCAAACTGAGTGCGATCCCACCACTACCAAGGAAATTATTAAGGAAAAATTTAAGTGTTTACTTCTTAAGTACTTATCGGTGAAGAAAAACATCACAAGAAGGGCAGCTTGTCTGTATGTGTAATAAAATATTTCGAGAACATAATATGATGTCCACCGACACGCATTTCAAAATACTTTATTAACATAACAGAGACTCTCACGCTCGTCACCAGAGAGGTTTGGTAGAGACTACGGATTTATGTTCGCAACGATCTTAACTCACCTCTCTCGCTCCTTTCACATACATAATATATCTCTTCGCACACATGCTCTTTGCCATTCCGAATTCCTTTTTTGATATCACTTGATGTTTCTACGCGCTCTGAATTTTGTTGTTTTTCTGTCCTTTGGTCTGAGTTTTTAACTGAGATTACGTATTTACTTAAAAAAAAAACATTTTCCGTTGGGTGCACATTTGCTAGTATACTCGCAAAATTGTTATTTCTATTATTGTGTCACAGCTCACAGCATAGCTCATTCGCCATAAAGATTTTGTGAATCGTTAAATTCCTAACATTAACTGTTTAATGACATTGCTGTTCGTTAGTCTCATTGATTTTGGTTTTATAATTATTTATTTTTATTTATTCTTTAATAACTTTACTCAACGTATAATGACAAAAGGTGGAATTAATGATAAAAGCGTTTTCTGTGAATCAATCTTAAGGCAGTAATATGTTGATGGCGTTTAGAGCGAAATAAACCTCAAGGAAAAATAAAACTTCAAACACACTATATTACATTATCCACTTTATTATTGTGATTAATAGATAGGCAATTAGAGCAAACGCAGTCACAGTATTTCTTAATGGCTCTTGCCAGCAACCTGCATGTCTGAAGATTAAGAAAAAAATATTTCGAAGACATGTGAAGTTCACGAACACGCATTGGGGCAGCGCGGCGGACACTTCCTTGCCCTAAAACCCTCTTAGAAATGACGCAAAGTGACGCAAGCAACCCCCGATCTCCCCCGGCACCAATGAAATTGTCGATTTGGAATTTGAGGCTTATTTACATAATGATTTCTTAGATTTACGCAAACACTACACATAGAATGAAACTATTTTTACAGATTTTATCACGTTTAATTTACTTATTTTTAAGGCCTGACGTTTCGTGGCAAAGCCCAACTGGACTGGACTGGACCTTTGTTCAGCAGTTGACTTTAACAGACGATAACAAACTTTAAATTAATGATACACATTCAAACGAATCAAACGATTGATTCGATATTTCATCAAGTGTATTGACTTAGGTATTTTTATAGCATTCAATACCTTGGGCTATCCATGAACTGGGCGTTTCAGATTTAAGCCTTTTACCTGATTTTATAGGTGGTAGAGCCATGCTGCATATTAGTAGTATAATTGTAGCACTAATGGGTCGGCTCGATCGGGGAAGGACCACGTTCTCACAGAATACCATGCTGTGTTTCGTATGGTGAGTATAGAGAACCGGAGACTCTTTTTACTGGAAACGAGGCATTCCATCTTAGTCCTCACGGATGACAACGCATCTGCATTTTGATTTGTAATCGAGGATAGATGTAGATGTCTATGAGCCGCAGCAATCACTTACCATCAGGTGGGCTGAGTGCTCGTTTGTCACCCTATCCTATAAAAAAGAATATTAATTCTCTTCAATAATGAAATATATTGATTTCACGAATATATGTAATGATTTCAGATGAAGACAGAATGATGACATTCCTTCGAGGATGCAGCTTTTCGTTGGAGAAGTGCAAACGGAAATTGGACATGTACTTCACCATGCGTACCGCTTGTCCGGAGTTCTTCACTAACAGAGACGTCAGGAGACCTGAGCTTGCAGATCTTCAGTCCAGACTGTAAGTCCAACCAAATATAAAATCATTATCCATTCATCATCATCATCGTCATAATCATCATCATCATTGCAACCGTTTACATAAGTCCACTGCTAAACATAGGCCTCCCCCGAGGAATGCCACAATACACGTTCCTGACCCACCTGCATCTACCAACTTCCTACATGTCTTACCAGTCGTCACTCCATCTAGTGGGTGGACGCCCTACACTTTGCCTGCCGATACGAGGCTGCCACTCGAGAACCTTTTTTCCCCATCGGTTATCGGTTCTTCGAGCTATATGGCCGGCCCATTGCCACTTCAGCTTGCTAATCCGTTGGGCTGTATCGGTTACTCTGGTTCTATTGCGGATATCCTCATTTCTAAGTTTATCACGCAGAAAAACTCCGGGCATAGCCCTCTCCACAGCTCGCTGATTTTGAGCTTCCTCATCCAGCCGGCCGGACCACGTTTCATCCATAGTTCATCACTGGCAACACGTACTGGTTGTACAATCTAGTTTTGTTATTTTGAGGTATACCTGACGAGAAGATGTGACGCAATCTCTCGAACGCTGCTCACCCGAATTAAATCCGCCGATTGACTTAACTAGTCGGACTACTGGTCGTAGCTAAACATACTCGTTAACAACTTCCAGTTTAATGCTCCCAACAACTACCAGCATGTGACGTGGACATTACACATGACTTTCGTTTTTTCAAAGTTCATCTTAAGGTATATCCGTCGGGAGACACTGAGATCATTGAGCATTGTGCTTATGTCCTCCAGCGATTCTGCCATAAGGACTATATCGTCGGCAAATCAAAGGTGAGTGATGTACTCGCCATAGACGTTAATACCGTGTCCTTTCCAGTCCAGTACCTTGAAAACCTCTTCCAATGCAATGGTGAAGAGTTACGGGTATATTACGTCACCCTGTCTTACACCTCGCTGCAGTTGGTTAGGTTTCGTATTCTAGTTCTGTACTCCGATAGCCATCGTAGCCCTACGGACGAACTGAATCAAAGGTTATTAGGACAAGAAGTTAACGGAATCATAAGTTATATATCTCATAGTCCACATACGTAAGACAAAGTGGCAGGTTGTACTCTTCGAATTTCTGTACAATTTTCGGAAAGGTACGTCTGTGATATCATTGGAATAGTGTCGAATAAGAATTGCTTTTGCATCGTTACTCACACTTTCGTGAGGCTCCAACTATGACGTGTACAACTGCCCATAGAACCTCTCAATGTCACTCAAAATCTCAGATGTACCGGAAACGATGCTGCCACACTCGGTCTTCGGCTTCAATAGTTGACTTCTGGCAGATCTATCTCTGGCAAAGACTTTGGAGCCCTGGTTCCGCTCAATCGCTTCTTCAATACGAGCTGTCTTAAAGTTGCGTAAGTTCCGCCGCATGCATTTGGAGATCTATCCTTTCAGTTGCATGTATGCTGTCAAATCTGTTGACGTCTGCAGCTTCATCTCCCGTCTAAAGGCCATGAGATTTAGAGTGTGATCCGTGAATTTTTTTGTTCTTCTGCGACGGATCTTACAGAACTTAGCTTCGATCGCATGGACAGTTTCTACAAGCTTATTATTCACATCGTTCACTTCTATTGCAGTTTTCTAGGCACTGAAAATGATTTTGTAACTTGATCTGAAAGTTTTCGGGGCTTTGGATTAGAGCACGAGGCGGATGGAGAGTCAACGCTCATTAGACGTGACCTCCCCAACTTCACGTTTAGATTCAATGTGCCACTCACTATTGATCGCTGCCAGTTTCACCCTTCACTGAAAGGTTGTCGTCTGGTCGTCATAATGACGTCACTCTCGTTATTTGTCGAATCATCGGGGCTCGACCAGGTCCACTTTCTGCGGGGCCGCGTTCATAAAAAGTTACCTTTAGTAGTTTAGAGGTAAGGAGTACAGACTCTGTATAAAAAAGTCTCCGTAGGAAAGCGTTAAATAAGGGTGGCGCCACTGTAGCTACAGTCTAATTTTTAAAAACTTTTTATAATTTTTTTTATTGCACAGACTTTTACCATAATTCTTTTAACAATAATTATTTTATTGCTTTCAAGTTTTTTATTTTCAAAACCACTCAACGAATTTTACGGAGATTATTATAGATATAGATAGAGATTAACATACCCCGTAGGTACTCGAGCGCTGTAGTGGAGAGTTTTTGAACTGTTATTTACTGCTTACCGATGGACACTTTTTCAACTATTCTCCTATGGGAGTTGCTACTCCTTATTTCCACACTCCATAGTCCGTTTCAAGCAATAACATTTGTCTTGGTATGATTTTTCAAAGGTGACAGTATCTGACAGTGCACTCCGTCAAGAAAAGGGTTAAACTTGGTAATAGAGATAGCTTGTATATTTTCTGGGACTTTGTTGTAGCAGCGTATACATTGCTCCAAGAATGAGTTACTGACTCTGTGAAGTCGAGAAACTGGTATCATTGGTTTGTGTTTGTTCCTAGTGTTTACAGAGTGTATATCTCTTCATTTACCAAAACTACTTTTGTTTTTATGAACATACATTAAATTTTCGTTATTATACTGAGAGGCCTAAGTTTATATATCTATTTCTTTAAATTTTTCTCTCAGAGGTCTCTTGGTTTTAGTTATAGTTTCTAAATCGGCCTTATTTCCCCATAGCAAAATCCCATAAGACATTTTGATATGGAAAGAACTAAAATAAACTAATCTAGCTGTCTCGACACTTTTGAGAGCTCTAATCTTTTTTACAGCATAAGCTGCAGAGCTTAGTCTGCTTGCTAGTTTGAATATATAAGGAGCCCCACTGAAATTTGCATCGAGAGTTATACCAAAAAAAAAAAAAAACGGAGGATTCAACGGGGCTCAGTTCTTACCCATTTAAAAACACATTGGTATTCTGACTTTTAACATTCGTTGTGGTAAATTTAATACATTTAGTATTATTGTAGTTTATATGTAGATGATTATCGTTAAACCAATGCACTAATTTTGATATAACATTATTCACTTCAATAAACGCGACATACTAACTTCGAATACACTCAACAAATGCTTTGAGTTAACAACTCCCTAAAATGAGGAAATGATACAAGGAAGAACGTTGATAATAAAATCCCAATTTAATATGTTGCATAAAATATTTAAAACTAAAAATTCTATTTAAAAAACATTACAGACATGGACCACCATTGCCAGGTTTAACGCCAAACGGTCGTCGAGTCTCGATTGCCAGAGGTATGTATTAAATGTATTACGATAAGTAAGCATGCAAGTAATTTATTATCTATTTACAATTTGTTGTGTCTTGTTATTGGACACATGCCTCTACAGAAACAGAAATCTTTTTATTCAATATAGATTATAAATAACACTTATTGAAAGTCACTTTTTTTAATTATATTACCAATGGTTCGAATAAAACATCTATCCTGAAGATACATGTTACAAATAACAACACAGAACAAATTAGAATTAGCGTGGTAGCGATCACCCTTCCCTGGGGTTATTATCATCCGAAAATTCCTTAATATTAATATAATAACGCTAAACTAACTTTATACCTCTACCAATCCTACCCTTTACAAATTTACAAAGTAGGATGGGGTCGATAGGCACTGTATATCAATAGTACTTTTATAGATCTACAATGTCAGGCCTATGGGATTATCGAAGTTTCTGTAGCGTAGCATACGGTTCTACCGCCCGGAGCCACTGGAGCCGAAAATTACCTCTTAACCTCGGCGCAGGCGGGCGGGTTATACCGCCCTTTTTTATATATCCACAGTCTCATCTAACCACATTACTTGCGTGGTAGAGCGCTGCTGCAGCTGTATTGTGGTTGCAGCACGGTCACGGTCGGCTCGACCAGGAAAAGGACCACACGCTCACAGAACACCCGCGTCGAATAGCAGTTCAATGCTGTTTCTTGTGTTTTGCATGGTGAGCGTAAAGAACCAGAGACCCTTTTTACTGGAAACGAGGCATTTCATCTTACATCTCAGGGTTCCTTAACCTCTACATATCTGTATTTTATATGTAGATATTTAGGGGTCACAGTATGCACTTACCATAAGGTTTACTGTGTGCTCGTTTGCGACCCTTATACTATTTAAAAAAACTCACGGAACGAAGTAAGTTGGTAGACTTTCGTAAGCTGCCATCGTAAGGCAACCTACTATACCACACTCAATGACTTTATACATATCATATTAAGCTGGTATTGATAACATCTTCTGACTTCCAGGCCTGGACAAAACTCTTGACACCAATCAACTCAACGACATCTTCAAACTCGCAATGATGATCGGCGATATAAGGCTAAAAGAAGAAGTTGAGGGTGTTGCAGGTGATATCTACATCCTAGATGCATCTGTGGTATCTCCTAGCCACTTGGCCAAGTTATCTCCGTCAGTTATCAAAAAATTCCTAGTTTGTGTACAGGTACTGTTCCATTTAAACATTTTTTGAGTTACATTATAAATCAGAAATTTAATTTAAAACGGAGGTCTCCAATGTTTTCTTCCACACCACAGTCCTTTTCGTGTTTTCGGAAGAAAATATTATAGGTACGCCTCTTTGTCCATAATATATCAGGTTTTGTGAAATATAAAAATTTTGATGCATGTTTTATCTGTACCTTATTTATATTTTCTAATTTATAAAGTAGATATCAATGAAACCTACAAAAATATTAAATAAAATAGTTTATTAAAATTTTAAAAATAGTCAAAAACTGAATGAAAAATGATTTAATCAATGAAATTATTGAAGCTAAGTTTTAACAATTATTTAAGGTTAGGTTTCACTTATTTTGAAAAAGTTTTCCCGCCAAAGCAGCTATGACGTTTTATATTTTACATATTAAATTCAGCTCAAAACCGCTCACTTGTAGATTAACTTCTAAAAATATTTTAAATAGCGCTTTCAAATATGCGTTCATTTTTCAATTTTTTTATTTATTACCTCCTGATATTTTACAATTAGTGTTTATCTGCTGTACTTGAGTTCGCTACGCTAAAAAAAAGTAAATATACCTATTCAATTAACTTGCGATCTTTGCTATCCAAGGAACTCAATGGAAACATCTTTAGTTTGTTTTCTATATTTTTTATTCCTTAATAATGTTGCTAAACTCAGGACCATTTATGAATAAGTATACAGCAGTGTGTCTACCGTAAGTGTTCCGCGCTGCTGTCGTGATGAAGTTGCCGCGAGAGATAGTGATAGCCCAAGTACCCTTAACATGTTCAACCTTTATTTTAATAGAATTATCAAAAAGAATTTGGCGTATGAACTGGTCGTGCAAAGGTAGTACTTTGCAATATTCGAATAATTCTTCCCTGTGTTCAAGGAAGTCCATTACTCAGTTAAATAGATTAAAAAACAATACAGACGAACTAAGATCCTAAATAATAGATCCAACGTACCTGTACTTTTGTTTACCTAGGTTGCACTAAAAGTATCGGGAATGGAATATTTCCACTGTTCCTGTCATATTAAAATCTTTTTAATTGAAAACTCCTTGGTTTTAAAAATCGAATACCATTTATTTATTTAAAAAAAGATTCTCGGTCTTGTCACAAGGTTTTGTCAAACTTGTTTAGTCGTTGAGAAAATGGAATTGACTCGAGAAAATTCAAGAGTGATGATTTATTATGACTTTCGAAGTGGTTTAACACAAAAACAGTGTGTTGACCGGATGATTTCTGCATTTGGTGATGAAGCCCCATCCAAAATCACAATTTATCGCTGGTTTGCTGAATTTCAACGTGGACGTGTCAAGCTCAGTGATGATCCCCGTCAAGGTCGTCCAAAAACTGTAGTCACCCAAAAAAACGTTGATGCTGTGCGTAAGCTGATTGAGAAAAATCGACATGTGACATACCGCGAAATTCAGGCAACTATAGACATTAGCATGAGTCAAATACAAATAATCTTGCAAGAACAATTAGGTGTGAAAAAGTTGTTTTCCCGATGGATACCGCATTTGCTCTGTGAAGAGCAAAAAGCGGCTCGCGTTACTTGGTGCGTCAGAACTCTCGAAAAATTCCACGCAGGATCCTCAAATGCTGTATACAAGATCGTATCAGGTAACGAATCCTGGATATACGCGTACGAACCCGAAACAAAAAACCAGTCACGAGTTTGGGTGTTCGAAAATGAGTTAAAGCCAACAAAAATTGTTCGTTCACGGAGTGTTGCGAAAAAAATGGTGGCCACGTTTGTCTCCAAAACCAGCCATGTTACGACTATTTCTCTTGAGGGACAAAGAACGGTTAATGCAGAATGGTATGCTTGAATTTGTTTGCCACATGTCGTTTCTGAATTCCGTAAAGAGAACTGCAACCGCCGCATCACCCTCCATCACAACGATGCGAGTTCTCACACCGCACACAGAACAAAAGAGTTTTTAGAGCAAGAAAACATAGAATTATTAGACCATCCGCCGTACAGCCCCGACCTATGCCCTAATGATTTCTATACTTTCCCTAAAATAAAGAATAAATTGCGTGGACAGAGATTTTCATCACCTGAAGAAGCTGTGGACGCCTACAAAACGGCCATTTTGGAGACCCCAACTTCCGAATGGAATGGTTGCTTCAATGATTGGTTCCATCGTATGGAAAAATGTGTCAAATTTCGCGGAGAATACTTAGAAAAGCAATAAATACATTTTTAAATAGTAATGTTGTGTCCCTTCCTTGATTCCCGAAATTTTCAGTGCCGCCCTCGTACAGCAGCAAGCTATAAAGATAATTGAATAAAACGGTAATAAAGGGACGTATCCCAGTCGTATCCTTAAAATTTAGACGAGTACATTTGGTATAGCTTATTTCAAATGCACTCTGAAATCATTAAAATACCGCATATCCGCAGAAGGATAACCAGATGCAGAAGCAGAACACAGCTGGAGTAGCAGTGACAGATATTTAATACCATGTAAACTTACATGATGGTAGTTATAGATTAAGTCTTGATAATTTTTTATTCTTTTATAAATCGAATACCTGATAGAGTAGCTTCATCATTTGGCGGAGTTGATTTAACAAGTTCAATACAAAAAAATTTACAAGACTATACGCAATAACATAATGATATTGCAACGTCCTTTGCTATTGTATGTATTATTTTTTGCACCGAATTATGTCTAAGTGGAACTTGTTTAAATATATCTGACGGTGTTTTACGATGACGAATAATATCTGATTTAAAATAAAACTAGTTTTGGCGGATTTTATCGCATATATAGCATTAGCATTGCCTTGTAAATCGGAGCATTTTTGTTGGATTACCGTTCGTAATAACTTTTTATTTGCCTGATTTAAGATCTTAGCGCTTCCTCAAATGTCCTTTTTGGTTGAATATCTGATTATTATCTTTGACTCCTGGTAAAACTAATGCCTTGCAAGTTGAGTGTGGTTTTCTTCCTTTAGCTAATAAGAATGAACCGTCATATGAAGCTCGTAGTCTAATTTAAAATACGACGCAAAAACGTTTGATACAGCTGCCGTTTTAAATATTTCTTTTCCAGTTGTTGAAAATGAGTTCAATCTTTCTTCTATTCGTCGTATAGTTTATTAAAATTGCTTTTGTAGCCTGGAAGTTCAAAAGGTTACATAGTTTCATTAGAAAAACTTTTTTTGATGAATGCACGAAGGCAATAATTGATTTAACGGAAAATACATTCATATCACAAATAAATATTAAATACTATAGTGCCGACATTTCTTTTTAGATGTTAATCAAGCCATTTTTTTTAATACTAGTTAGCAACTTAACAGATTTAAACCTAGTATAAATTACTAAACACTATAATATATCACGGCAGACCAAATAAAAAATATTCCTAAAGCTTTCCAAATTAAAAAAATTGATTTTCTGCACTGTATTATGCAATGCCGCTTAGTAACGCTAGGTTAAATATTTAATTGAAGCATTTGTTAACTATTTTAAAAACATTTTATTTTTATATTGCAAATTTAATAATTATTTTAAAATTATAGGGTGCTGATAGATAAGATTTAAATGCTCCCCGGCCGCCCTATTTGTCTATGAATCCGCTACCATGGAAGGCTCCAGCCCCTACTGCGGGAGCGTCATCGCCCCCGTTGTGATCTACTACTTTCCTTGCCACAAGACCAATTAAATTCAAATGATATAAAAACGATACGATATAGTGGACAGTATTGTTACAAATCCAATAGTTTATAATGGTTGTAAATATTCTACAATTTTATTTCAGGAAGCATATCCTGTTAAACTGAAAGAAGTGCACGTTGTGAATGCCTCACCACTTGTCGACAAGCTTGTCGGTATCATCAAACCCTTCCTGAAGGAAAAAATAAAAAAGAGGGTAAGTTCTACCATCTATAGACATATAAATAATGTTTAAGTATCCGTCTGTAATATCTTAACTTCAGGGGTTATTTGCGTTGTTATATTTCGTTATAAAGACATGAATAACCATATGTTTTAAAACCTTTCACAAATGAGATACTGAACCTCCAGCAACTGGCACAACCTGAACGGTGATGTTTCTAACCATTCAAGTTCAACACTATGGTGAATCTCAATCGCTGGGTTCGCCAGTGACTCGCACAAAATAGTTATAGAAAAAATTATATTGACTTTTTTAACATATTTGTTTTAAATTTCCAGATATTCATTCATACAGATATGAACACTTTGTATGAATATGTACCTAAAGATGTACTACCTATTGAATACGGTGGTACGTGCGGTTCTCTGAAAGAAATCAATGGTAAAAAGCTTTAATTTTAACACCATTACTGAAATTGTATCGCTATTATGTGACCCGTAAATTAAATATTTACGGTTCAATAAACTACTTCTTGTTTTAATCCTACTATTCCTACAGATGCCTGGGCGAAGAAACTGGAAGACTACACGGAATGGTTTAAAGAACAGGAATCAATCAAAGCAAATGAATCGCTTAGAATAGGAAAGCCAACTAACTACGACGAACTATTTGGCATCGATGGCTCTTTCACACAACTATCCATTGATTAAATATTAAATTAGATTTAAAATTCTACTTAAACTTTAAATAAGTAACAATACATAATAGTAATAACATTTTATATTTATTTATTTGTTTACTATATTTTATATATAGTATGATACTCGTAATATATTTTATTTTATCTTAATGATTTCTTATATTTACGCGAACACTACACATGATTAAAACTACTTTTACGGATTTTATCGCGTTTATTTTTGCTTTTAATTACTTTTATTTTTAATTCCCAACGTTTCGGGCGCTTTCCAGCACCCATGGTCACGGGGGACTGAGATGACTGACGTCCCGATGTCATTGTTAAACCCGGAGTACCTTCAGCTTTTTAATTATTGTTTATGGTCCGATCTATGCAAAATGAACAGACTATGTCTTGAGGTCTTGCAGTGGTATGCTTGGGTTTAGTTTTAATTTTATTGATTATAGGATCCCAAGCAGGTGGTAGTACCCAGCCTCCTTCTCTATTGAAATTAGGATGTTTTTTAATTTCAATAGCCTCACGTATCATCCTTGGTAGGAATCGGTGTTCTTTCGCGAGGATTTGTGGTCTATCAAATCTGATGTAATGGTTGGTTTTTATATAATTTAAAATAAATGGTTTTATTTTATCAGTTTATAAATATTTATACATTCCAACCAGAGGAGAATATCATAAAATACTCCAAAATATAATTTTAATAATATATATTAATTATAATATATAATAGTTTAAATGCAACAATAGAGTTGGTCTCTATATTAAACTTACAAAAAGTGCCTTTAAAAACAATTACATCGGTTTGTTCGTCGCAACTTTTCATTAATACTAGTATCGCCTGTGGTCGAAGTTCGAGCAATTGTGTGTAAGCAGTAACGTTTAGTATTGGGTAGTGATTATATACTCTATCGGTGTTTGTTTGCAGATTACAATATTTTGTAATATTTTCCCGTGGAGAAAAAGTAAACAGGATATTAGCTCATACAGCCATAAACATGATGAAATCCAAAAAAAATTAATTATTAGTTTCTGTACGGATTAATCACTTTATTTTACCTGCTGTGACGGAAAGTTAAGTAAATTTAAGATATTTTTACCATTAAAATGCATAAGTTACTCGGTGGTACTAGATGGCAGGGCTATTATACTACGTATTTCTGTATTTAAATGGCAGTTCACCTTCAGTTATCTTTCAAATTGATGGATGTGCGAGCCAATAAAATTACGAGGTGTGAGGCTTTTTCTATTCGAGTGAACTGAAGCCCGTCATTCTAACATTTTTATTTAAATAACTTGTGTGTACCAAATTTTTGAAATATTTTTTTTCATTTGATAAAAATATTGCGTAGGTGTTATAAGTTATTACTTACTGAAGATGTTCTGAATGTGATATGAGATTTTTCTTAATAAAATTTCTTACTTTTCTAAAAATAATACGTTTTATTTATTTATTCAAAGGAGCTCTACCATTTGTATATTTCATGATTTCTTATATCTGTATTGTATAATTTGCGTTGCCTTTCTCTTTGGTGTAGTGGTAGTAATGCCGACTGATCACGTAGTCCCGGGTGTGGATACCGGATTGGATAAAAATCTTTTACTGAGCTTTTCTGATAAGCAATTCTTAGTAGCGGCCTGGAGCCAAAAAGTTTGCGGTGTTTCACGCCTGTGCCTGAAAAAACATATAAAGCCATTGGTCCTGCGGCTAATCTCTCGGTAGTTTCAAATTGCTGTTACAACGGACTATGAAAGTGGGTGAATAGGGAGTGGTGCACTCACAAAAAAAATACAACAATATAAAGAAAACTTATTAGACATTTTTAATAACTGTAATATTTTACGTACGCAGATGAAACTTCACATGACCCTATTAATTGAACAATTCAATATAAGTACCCGTATCTCATACAGTATTTACAAAAAATATTACCAAACAAAAATTAATTGTGCCTAGGATCTCAAATTACTATGGTAGGCGAACTATAGAATTTTTAATCCCAACTCTTATAAACAACATCCCGCAAAACATTCAAAAAGATTTAAACACAAAAAACTATAAACAAAAACTCAAAAAATATTATTACGATAATATAAAGAACTTCGTCTTATAAAATCAATCAGAATCATAGTTATAATTTAGTTTGTATAATAGTGAAACAGCCTGTATAAAGTTAAGTAGTTTGCGCTGCATAATAGAACCGGTTCGTCGAATAGTACCAGGTGAGAATTGCGAATGGGTGCTTACCACTTACACAATAAAGAAGGCGTATTTATATGTATATACATTTTTTTAACTTTTAGTAAATTAATTAAATATTTATGTAAAGCAGTGCGTTAGTTGCGAATGTAAGTACCATACAAACCACACGAACAAGTTTAATGGTACAAATCAAGCATATATATAAGAATACTTTTGATAAATAAATTAAAAAAAACCCGTACTTGGACACACACTCGTATTCTATAATCCTGTCCTGCTAATATAACCAGTCTCCATTGAGATTGCCCGTCGTGACTGGAATTCGATCCGAAGGACATTATTATGATTTTGATTACAAATTTAAAAGATGTTTATACAAAACAGCTTAGAGCCGTAGCTTCAGGGAATAAGCACTCGCCGTCAACAAGCAAGCAAGGAACCCAATTTGGGTTTGATCCGCGCCGGTGCCGATGATATTTTTTAAGTCTTTTTCTTTATTTTGGGACTTACGTTATTTTTAACATGTCAGTCCCATTGTACCTCATAACTAAATAGCACACTACAGTTTGCTAATAAATTATTTAAACAAAATATTAACTAAATTATATACCATTTGAGCAGCATTAGACAATGGTTCAGACAGGATGCTTTGATATTCTCCTAGGTTACATATTTTAATGTCAGTTTTGGCAACTTGTAGTTTCCTTTCATGATGATTTTTGCAACATTCAGCGAGCAAGTGTTGTTATTGTTAATTGCAATTTTAAGTGCTAATTTACGGCTGTTAAGACGAAACATCGAAAAGGCTATCGCCGTAATGATACGAGTGAATACATAATTTCCATAAAAACTTGAAAAAATGCCGTCATAAGGTCTAAAATTGCGTGGCGTCCGCGACGGTTAAAAGCGCTTAGAAATTGTCAGAAACTTAAAATATCTTTTTAAATTATTGATTTAAGTAATCAAAATAATGAACAAGTAAATTATGAATATTGATATTATGAATATATTTGAGTGGTTCCCAAGCATATAGGTTAAGTAATTTCGTTGTAATTTCAACTGTAGTGATTTTTTAGAGGTGTTTTCGCAAATAATTATGATCGAGTCAAAATTATACAATCGTGTTTTTGAACAATCAAATTCAAGGTAAAGGCATGAATTTACCTATATGAAAATTCCACTTTCGTTAGTGGTGTCAAAGTCCTATACTATTCAATAAAAGGATGTGCATTTTTTCACGGTGTCGCCTTAAGGAAAGCGTCGTGAGGAACCGGCATACCGTTACAGCCTACTAAAGTCCACTGCTGGACATAGGCCTCCCCCATAGGTTGCCTGATAAGGACGATATTTGCCATAGTTGCCACGCTTGGCAAGCGGGTTGGCTAACGAAGGTTTTTTATTTTTAATCGTTATTAGGAAGACGCTGCTGCCCATTTACTGATTTGTCTCCCTCTGGGGCCTCTTACTTTACCCACGGGATGATATGGGTAGTGGATATTCTACACCGCGACTATATGGTAAAGGAACCGGCATGTCTGAGGAATAAAATATTTCAAGGGCATGTGATATCTGCCGACGCGCGCTGTAGCTACCGGACGGACTAACTGCTCCATAATCCTATTTTGAACAAAAGGACACCTGACCACTGCAGTAGGATGTAAATGCATCCTGCTATTTTGTGGGTTTCAGAACCTTATTTATATTAAGAATAAAAAATTACGAGTTGAAACAATATAATATATAGAAACGAAACAGTTGGGTTACAAATTACAAAAACAGTCACAGCGTCAGACAAAGATGAGATCACAGATATAAAGTGAACTACGCTCACCAAGTTACAAAAAGTGGCTCGAAATACATACAGTGCAATTAATATAACGTACCTCAATATAACGACTTTCGCGATTTGGCAAATTTTTAGTGATCCCCTTGAATTGTCCATAAGATTCAATATAAAAAATACCTTTACATTGCGAACGTTTCTTGCGAACAACCTCTTTATAACGAATTTACAACTATCAAAAGAGTGTAATACCTAATTAACGAATTTTGTCAACCAAAAACCTTTATATAAAGTTTATTAGTAGAAGTTCTTAATAAAACTATTTTTTTACCACTTTATAACAAATTTTAGACCAACCTAACCTCAAGTTCAACGAATTACTTGATGTAACGTCCTTTTTTCTAATATATCGAGGTTGCACTGTATTTAGTTATATGTATTTATTCTAACTATAATTAGCAATTGATACGTTTTTATATTATATTTGCTTACTATTACTTACTGCCGGTTAGTGGTGATGTAAGAATATCTTCCTGTGGATGTCGTAAGAGGCGACAGAGTAAAACTGAGACAGAAGATGGGCAGTAGTACCTTGCTGATAGCATAAAGTACAAAAGTACTATTAAATAAGTGGTAAAACAAAGAAAAATTCTACAAACTAATTTTTAATTTCTACAACCAATACGACCGAATCAATGTATTCTAAGTCAATTAAATACGCATTATTAAAGATAACTCAGAAACTACTGGTCAGATTTTGATAAATATGGGACCATACGAAAAGCACTAGTTTTCAGATAACATTTTTTTTATTTAGTAGTAGGAATTTAATTTAATAGTTATTATATTTCTACGTGGTAGAGCCATGCTGCAGTTATTTAGTAGTATAGTTGTAGTACGGTGTAGTAAGGTGCATGATCCTCCGGATGTGGAGGATCATGCACCTTCCCTGTTGGACCTTCTGCTGACCTCTCACCCGGATGGATATCAGATTTCCGTTGACGCCCCTTTAGGCTCCTCGGACCATTGT